GGGAGAAGGTGATGCAACTTGTCCTGCTGCAAGTGAGTCCCTGGCTCCAGAGGGAACAAACTTAAATAACAGAAACCAGAATAAACATTTTTACCCTTCATTACCCCAGCTACGTTCTCAGGAAGAAGAAATAAACAAGCTCGGAAGTCAGATAATTAAACTGACAGAGCAGGCAGTTGCAGAGCTGGAAGGGAAAACAGGAGAGCAGAACACGGTGGCTGGAGCAGAGCTTAATGGTTCATCTGAGGGAGAGTTCCCACTTTCCAGCCCTGACCCATCCGACCCTACAGATCCCTCAAACTCGGAGAATGAGCAAACACCTGAAACCGAGGCTCTGAAAGACAATGATGAAACCTCAGAGAGTGATTGTGACATTCCAAATGAAAAAGGGGGTCAAAATAGCAGCACCGTGGATGTGGTGCATAGTGAGGTCCCTGAAAGACATGGAGGGCTCAGTGTTACAACTGCACACACAGATAACAGCTTTGAGGAGCTCCCTGAATGTGAAAACAAGAAACCATCTGATCCTGCTGAAAATTGTGAATATTTGGATAACAGTTTGGCTTGAGGTATGAAATCCAGGCCCTCGAGCATCTCACTAATCCTTTTGCAGTGTCTGTGCTGCTGTGAATATGATCAATGAAACAGTGTGCATAGGGCTGATTTTTACATTCAGCTGTTAGTATTTGTCTAATAAGGGTGGTTTTCTGTTAGTTTTGGCTACCGTGTAGCAAAAATGTAAATTACCTAAGGGAAAGAATTAGCAATGAGGTTTAATCACCTTGGGTTTTTGTAATGATTTGAAATTTCTTCATAGATTGGTGTAATTTACATTAGTTTAGCAAAGAGACCAATGTTAAGGATTTATCGTGTTATCACTAGGCTTCTGTAATGTGTTTGGTCCTTGTGCTGGACCGTATTTTAATGGTTAGAAGTGCCTACCAAGGATGCAAAATTTGGTATGATAAATTGAGAAGCATCTTAAGGCTGCAAGCTTTTGCTCGTTTCTCACACTGTGTTCTATTTCTCTTTATATCTAGTGATTTAAGTACATCTTTAGAATAAAATGACTATTCCCTTATGGGAAGTTTCCGAAAACCATTCCCGTGTGTGTATATATATATATGTGTGTATATATATAGTTCTTTCATTACAAAACTTTGTATCTTCTCAACTGTATGAATTTTTTCCTTCCCTCTCCCAGCTCATCTCATCAAAAAGCAGGGAGTTGTTTCAGCAGATCCTGAGAACCCAATTTAATGAAGCTCTGAAGGAAACTTCACGAGAGAAGCCAGAAGTCTTTCAGTGAGAAATGGCATTGCTGTTCCAAAGCAAGGAGAACAGCAAAAGGAGATACAGTGATGATGCCTTCTACACCTACTTGGTGCTCTCAGTTACTGGAATTGCATTCCTCAGCTTACATGAGCTGGAACAGCCCTCGGGCTGAGTAACCGGTGGTAGATTTCAGCTTGTTCCATCTGTGCTCTCCTTTTTAAAGGAATCTGTGTCTTTTTTTATTTTCTCATGGTTTGGAATTAAGGATAATTCTTCCTTTCCTCCTCATTTCACCAGTCTATAGTGTGGTAGAGGGTTTATTTGCACTGTTGCTGCTTCCTAAAATTTCTTCCCTTGATGATGTTTAGCCATAGGAAAACATTCCTATAATAACCAGGGGAAAAGGAGGCTGCTGTGTCATTCCCTAGCTCACTCCTGATGCTGGAGCTGTGCCACTCTGCTCCTAGGAAGGCAGCAACAAGGGAATACTTCACATTGAAGTCAGCAGCTGTTGGAGAAGGGGAGGCAGGTCCTTCCTCTCCTGTTTGTAGCATAAGGAATAGTCTCTGCAGCTGTGGAGCTTCTATGGGCCAGCAGCCATCAAGGCAATTTTTCTGCTGGCTTGGGACCTAATTGTCTGTAAATGTTCATTTCTCACTCCCAGAACTTGAAACCAATCAGAGAGAATTAAACCAAATTTAATAAAATACTACTAATAAAAAGGAGAATCCCTCCCAGATTGAGTACTTCTTTGACAAATAACTGCCAGCTGCAAATTTTTTACAGCCCACTTGTCAGCTACTGAATAAACAGTTTATATTAGCAGTATGGACAAACTCTTCTGTATATGGAAGATGAGCTAGCAGGTGCTGCTATAATCAAGGTGTCAGAGTCCATGAACAGTTTATATTCAGCAGAAGAAAGGCTCTATGTAAATTATTACATATAAATATAAGGAGTGATAGTGGGAAGGTGAAAAATGTGGCTTGTCACTGTTCTCGTGTGCTTTCCCCAGGTGCATTCATATAGCCATTTCAGTGTCAGCAGGCAATAAAGCTGTACTCACAGTGCTCCTCAAGTATGTTTCCTTTCTCTTTAAAGGTAGTTCGACACTGCAGCGTTTCACTGATACTAAGCAGCTGCCCTTAGGAACAGAAAACATCTATATATTTAAGTGTATTAGGAACATGAAGCAGTAACAAGTTTTTATTTCATTATCCTGCTGACCATTCAAGTTCCTCATCACCTGAAAAACGCAAGAAGAGTTAAAGCATTTGAAAGATTGTCATGCTGTTCCCATTAATTGTAACTGACTGCATTATTGACTCATTCGTATGACAGTGCTGACAAGTCGGAAGAGAAATAGCTGCAGAAACTGAAATCTCTGGGAGAATGTGGCAGGATTTTTTCCTTTAATGCTTAAATGTCACATGAAGTAGGATTTTGTTCAAGATGTATTCTTTTCCATCTTCCACAGACTAATCCTGAGCCAAATACCAATGCAGTCAGAACTGAGGCAGGCAAATAAGGTCAAGATTCTATGTAGCTGAGCTCAAAACGTTGAGGGTGTTGTGCTGTTTCCCTGCCCCGTGTCTTTCCTGACCCACAGTTGTGTGAGTTGGCGTTTTGCTCCTGGTCTCTTAGCAGCCAGTTAATTCTATTAGTTAATGAAGAGCTTGGTGCAAAAAAATCAAGCCAGTAGAAACAGTGCTGGACCAACAGCCTTTTAGTGCCTCATTTGTTGATACCTCTTACGTTGTCACATTCTTTCTGTGAGAACACAGTGATGTACAGCGCAACAACTAGGACATCTTGGTAATTATCCTCACCCCATTCTCCCTCCTAGATGCCATTTTTTATCTTTGCAATCATTAAATTCCAGTAGGATATCTAGATCTCTGGAAACCTAATTTTCAGTGCTATGTCACTGCTGCAGTACTGTCCATCTCCTTTCTGCCCTAGTACAGGTGTATTCTAGCTACGGTTTTAGCCTCTCCCAGGAGCACAGGGCCTCAAAGCCAGGAGATTTGTAAAAGACAGACATCTTTGCTGCACTATGTGATAACTAATTGAATGTTCTCATCAGTATCTTTCTTGGATATTGTTTTAATTGCTGTTGTTATGCTATTAGAACCATGATTGGTTTCCCAGTAAATTAATTAGTGTTTTGTTGTGGGCTCAACACTACTTCAGTGTTGGGGTGTTTTTTTTTTTGGTGGGGGGGGGGGAGGCAGGGAGGGGCCTTAGACTTGTGCTTCCTTTTTCTAGGACTTTAGAAATGCAGAAATTGCATTCAGACATATAAGCCCTTCGATGCTGGGCTTTGGGGAAGCACACTGGGAAAGTGATGTTGTGGCAGGGGTATGGTGCATTTCACAAACTGATTCTTACGGAGTTTGTCTCACCTAGAAGTGAATTGATGCATTCATTATCTGTGAGAAGGGGTTCACCTGAAAGTGCGATGCAGTGGTTGTCTCAAAAACAGTGTTCACTGAATTTGTAAAATCAGCGTGTGAGAATGACAGGTTAATGACATCTGTTAGAAAGCTGCTTCTTTTCTAAGTGAAGCTATTTTTAAGCACGTGGGGAATTTGTATAATAAAGATAGTGGCGTTTCCTTAATCCATATGGGCTCAGGAATGTATTTCAAAATCTTAACTGAGATTAAGTTGAAAGTGTGCTTCATTTCTAAGAGATAGGATTTTGTTTGCAAGCTTCTGTTTTGTAGTTTTACTTTCTAAATTATGCAGTTTAATTTATTTGCAAACCTCGCTTTTGTTGCTGCCTGGATGAACTACACAACATGGTTAAACTATATTAATACGTTTTGTCATCTTTAATAAAAACATTTCCTGATCCGCTTGTTCTACCTGCTCCGTTCCTCTTCTCCTCTCAGTAGCAGATGAATGATAGCCATGAGGTAATGTTTTAGTGTTTTCAGCGAGATGTGCTAAATTAAAAAAGCAAAAGCTTTATTGAGTGAGAGTTTTAAGGCTGAAAATTATCGGGCTTAAATCTTTCCACTGTCACTTCTCCCTGTCTGAGCTGACTGATTCACTGCCGCATTTTTGTGTGAAGAAACATACTCAGTATTTCTTGACTTCGAAAATAATATTTATGTCTGATCTGTTAACTCTGTCATCCCTGTTTAAGCAGCATCAAAACTTCCATATACAACTGTCCTGGTTGTATAAAGATACGACAACAGCTCAGTTACTGTTAACAGGCACAAACTAGAGGCTTTAGGGACTTTCTGCCAGGGAACAATGATAAACTGGAGTATTTCCTGTAAGTCTGCTTTCAGATGTAAACAGTGTGACTTACCCATAGCCATGTAGACAATACAAAATAGTTAAGAAGCTGGCACATGTTTGAGAATAAAACTTGAAAATACAAGTAGAATAGCATAATGGATTTAATGTTTAAAAGAGAAATGTGTGTACTTTCCCTTGTCTTTAGGGGAAGTCCATTATCCACGTCTTGCAACACAACACCCAGCACTGCTGAAAGCATAGAAATGTTTTTACTTTTCAGATTCGCAGCCAAGGACAGGACAGCCTCTAACGAGAGGCAGTTTCTTACTTATTCATACTAACTTCTTTTTCCTTTGCTGTCTAACTTAGGATCCCCCTGCGGTGCACAGACACTTTACAGACTATGGACCATACCCATGAGAACTCTTACTTACATGCAAGGGAATCTTTTTCAGAAAATACATCACAATGTTGAGTTGATGCTGTTTTTATTGATGGGCTTACAGAAAGGATGCTCTACAAAGTGATACATGTTTCTTAGAGGAGCAAGTAAATGGAAATGAGAAGCCTTTTTGCCATGTATATTGGTGGCCAATGGCACAGCCTGAGGTGCTTTGTGCTGCCCAAGCTATAGCCCTTGTGTTGATCTTCACTTAAGCCTGGTTCTGTGTTCTTTTGTTGAGCCCTCTCTTCTTCTTGTCTGTAACCTCAGGCAGTTTCTCTTCCCACAAGTTCTTGTTGCACATCCCAATCACACAGCAAGCCAACCGCTTCCCAGCATTTCCATTTTCCAAACTGGCCTTGTTGTTGCCTTTGCCCATGTCATCTTCCTGCTCGTGGATCACAACGGATCTGCCCATGATGGAATACGGACCAAACATAGTGGCAAAGAGATTCGGTTTGTATTTTCTGATCTTGCCTTCTTTAGGGAAAAAGTTGCCAAAATCTCCCGGGTGCCGGGGGTGATTCACACTGAAGGGGTTATAGTGTCCTCCTGTAGCATCACAGCCCTTGCTGAGATCCCCAAGCTCGTGGATGTGTATAGCTCTACCAGATTGATTATTATCCAGTGGAAACCCATCCAGGTAAAAAATGGCTTCTAATCTTCCAGATGAGTAATACTGTCTGAATAAGACTTGTCCAGTCACCTGTGGCTTGTCAGCATCTATTTTGGAGCTGGGCTTCATTTCACAAGCGGCGTAAATCATCCCGTCGGTCTCATTACCAGGCATTGCTGGGTAGAGCAAGTTCTGCCAGAGGTCGTTCACTTTCTTCTCTATGTCCTGAAACCACTCTTGGCTTGGATCAGTTTCTTTGTCTGTCATGACCCCAGAGGCGGACATGGCGAGCCCAGTGACCAGAGAAAGGAGCAGAAGCATCTTGGCAATTCAGAGCCTGCAGAAGGGACAAGAAGCCACAAAGGATTAAGGGTGTTTTGCAGGTGTGTGGCTGGAGAGGCGGCTCACAGCCTGTGGTGGGGCTGAGCAAAACAGCTGGAGCGTGATCCCCACGGACTGCTGCTTGCTGAATCTGGAGCGTGATCCCCATGGACTGCAGCTTGCTGAATCTGCCTAATGCAATGAACTGAAACTAGAAATGCAGATGCGTGTTTAAACACACACAACTGATGCCTATGACTAAAAGAACTCCAGCAATTCTGTATTTTACTGTAGATCTTGATCTTTAAAACTGCCTCTGTTTCTTTGCAGGAAACAAGTAAGCCAAAGAGTTACTACATCTGTTTCTGCATTTGTATTGCGACTTTTCTCCTCCTAGAAATTCCGGCAGGACAGTTTGCCAGGAGCCTGTTTCTGGTTCGTCTACTTAAGCACTAGTCAGGCACTGCAAACAGAAAGTAAAAACCCCACAGGCTGGTTACCTTGCCGAGCTGCCGCAGAACCCCTCAGTGGTCGCTCTTTGCCTCTGCTCCCCTAAAGTGAGGTGTGCTCAGCCAGAAAGGCAGGGCTGTTTGAAGGTGATGCTCATGGGAGCTGCGTGCTCGTGTCAAAGTTAGGTAACGGGCTGAGGGGAGGCGTCACCCGGAGAACTGGGGGAGGGGATGGAGGGAGCGAGCAGGGGGGAAAGTTTGAGGCATTCTTGTTTTGGGCAGGGTGAACAGTTTGTGCTGTCTCGGTTGGACTGTCAGTCTGGCCCTGGGTCCCCACCGACATTCCAGAGACAAGGAAGAAAGTTACCGAGCTTTTAAATTAATCTTCCTGCTGACGACTTCATGTGCTTATCTAAGCCAAGTGACCTTCAACATGCAGTGAGGGGAGAGCAAGGAGCGTTATGAAGGCACAGCTGGGCAGTTTGCTCATGTGTGTGCTTCTTGTTGTCGAGCTGGTTTGCATTTTTATTTCTTCATTAGTAAGAATTGAAAGTGGTGCGTGAGCAACATAAGCTGTTCTATGTGGACAGGCACCAAAGTTTCTGTGCTTTTAAAACCTGAACTCAAACGGTAAGTGTCAAGGTACATCTCAGCGATGCTTCCCTGGAGTTGTAAGGGCTAGTTAGTGCCTGCTGCTTTAGTCACCAAGCCATCTGCTCCCCTGAAGCCTTTCTTCTTTTTGGAGACAGCAGGGATTTCATTCCAAGAGGAGAAGTGAGCAGTGCTGAGGCAGGGCAGCATCAGGCTGAGGCACTGTTTCCCAGAAGCTGGTTGGAGCACAGCGAGTTCACATGCGTTTCATCGTGCCATGAGCTGAGGAATGCTCCGCTCTCAGGGACGTCACCCTGCCTGCAGTGCTTCCCGCTGCTGTAGCTGAAACGGGGGCTCAGCCATCACCAGAGCAATTGAATGGGCTGGGGTTTCTGCAGAGAGAAAAGCGCAGCTCTGATTACTCAGGAACAATTCTCAACACGAGAAAATTGCAAAGAAAATCCTTTTTCCCAGTTCCTGTCTCCTGCCAGCTGGGTAAGGAATGGGGCTGTCAGCTTCCGGAGTGTGCGTGTTAATCTTGCTGGTGCTGTACGCTGCATCAGATCCAAGGCACTCAGTTAACCAAGAGCCAGTATGTTTCCTCTCTGTATGAGAGAGAGTAGCGTTAAAGGAATGACAACTGCTCAAATCATTAGACAGGGACTGGAAATAAGAGTTAACTTCTGCTTGGAATATTGGGATATTGAAAGTGTTCCTTTAGCCCTGGGCTTCAGTTCCTAATCTGTGGACAGGATAACCAGTATTTCTTTTCTTCAGGGTATTTATGAGTTGTTCAAATCTCTGTGCTCATGGGAACCATACAGTGCTCAGTGAAAGCCAAACTGTAAGGCCAAGAGCCAGGACTGCCCATCACCCCAGGTCTGCCTCCCGTGCAGCTTTTCCCAAGCTCACTCACTGCCAGGCTCAGAGCTGGGGAAATCCATACTTGTGGCAGGCTGATGCTATGAAACTGTGTGGGATTAAAGCATGTCAAAGAAGTAAAATGTCTCATAATCAGGTTTTAGGAGTGTATGCAAAACTGTTAAGCCAAAACGAGCCAAGTGCAAAGGGGGATGGTTCCAGTTTGTAAAATGCAAGAAGCAAGTGCCCAGTCTGGGTGCTGTTAGAAAAACTGTTACTCAGCACCATAAACCATTTTTTAAGGGGACACAATGAATGGAAGAAAGAAAAGGGCATTTTTCATGGTTTACTCTCTGAGTCATAAATTAGTGGACTGAGTTTAACACTTCTACAATGCAGTTTCTGAGTCAGTGGTCAGTACCCCAAGAAGATAATTGTAGAGCTTTTAGCTGAAGTATAAGAGGGCCAGAATCATAGCTGGTTTAAATGAACACAGTAAATGCTGCAGACTTCAGTGGCATTTGTGCTGCTTTACACCAGCTGGGATTCTGTCCCTGAAAAAACCCACTTGCTGCAGAGCTCTTTTTTGATGTACTGCACATGTGGGATGGAAGCAGAAATGCAGAAGGGTGTAAAGGAGAGGATCAAGGGGACAGAAAGGACTGCAGCGAAGCCAAATGATGTATTTGCAATGCTCTGCACTTCAGAGAGTGAAAAGGAAACACTGTGGGCTGCTGTCGGAAAGATGTGTTTTAAAAAGGAGAAGGGCTGATAAAGACAAGAAATACAATTGCCAGGGCCATTTGGCATTCAGTCTGGATCTGAAGGATATCGCTAAGTACTAACCAGGTGTATCATTAGAATCTGTTATTACTCACTGCCTATGTTTTAGTGTTCTGGTTAAGAGAGGTGCTGAAAAACTGACATCCAACGGTGTGCAGGTTTGTGCTGCCGTAGAGTTAATTTTCTTCACATTTGCTGGTATGGGGCCATGTTTTGGATTTGTCCTGGAAATGGTGTTGATAATCCAGGGATGTTTTAGTTATTGCTGAGCAGTGCTTATGCACAGTTGAGGCCTTTTCTGCTCCTAACATCACCCTATCAGTGAGCAGGCTGCAGGTGCACAAAGAGCTTAGAGAGGACACAGCCAGCACAGCTGACCCCAACTGACCACAGGGATACCCCCAGACCATATGGTGTCATGCTCAGCATACAAAGCTGGGGCAAGAAGGAAGGGGATTTGATGGTGTTTGTCTTAGTAGCCACTATTTGTGATGAAGCCTGGGGATGGCTGAACACCTGCCTGCTGATGGGAAGTGGTGGATGAATTCCTTGTGTTGCTTTGCTTGTGCTTGTGGCTTTTGCTTTACCTTTAAACTGTCCTTATATCAACCCATGAGTTTTCTCAGTTTTCCAGTTCTCTCCCCCATCCCACCTGGGGGAAGTGAACAAGTGACTCTGTGGGGATGAATTTCTGGCTGGGTTAAACTATGACGAGTGGTTAATAGGGGGAAAGCCCACAGTGACCTGACCATGTGCTTGTACTTGTATTGCAATGCTTGTTTAAAAAACAGACCCTTGCTTTTGTCCCAGCTGTACAGGACCATTGGATTTCATGCAATGTCCTGGAATCTCCTAGCTATATGAGAGCACATTGAAAACACAAACCTAGATATAAGTTTTGTTTATGTCATGGGCTTTACAATGGACTTTACACCAGACTCCTCTCACAAACTCTCAATCCCTGCTATGTCCTTTGGGGTTGGTTGGTTGGTGGCTTTGTTTTGTGGTGACATCATCCTTTCGCATCACCCTGCTGTTCAACTTCACATCATTAGATTTGTCCAGTGTAGAGTTAAACATGATGAAGAGCATCCTTTTGTAGCAAGCGGTAGCCTTGTTTTGTGTCTCCAGCACTCGGATCTGCTCTGAGTGATTTTATGGTAGAATGATTCTCCATAAAAATGACACCCAGGGAAGGCAGGTTTTATGTCTTCTGCAGTGGGTGATGGAGCTGACTGCTTTTCTCCACGTATGGCTGAGGCTGGAGCTGTTAAAAGAAAGGGAATGTTTGTAGCCTCAGGGAGCAGAGTCCAGCTCTTCGGGACCCTCATCTGCTCCTTCAGTTCAGGGCACTTTCTGCCATTCCTCAGTCATGGTCCTGGCCTGTGAGCCAGTTATGCTGGTGGCTTATCAGGCAGCACCAGGGGCATCTGGCATTTGTTCATGTGTGTATTAGAGACTGCAAGGCACCAAAGCTTCCTCACATTGAGTTTGGTGTGGTATCATACGTGCTCTGCACAGCAGTTGCCTGCAGGCACAGCACCAGCCTCAAGTGACATCTGGCATGTCCTGATACCTGCCCATGGGTCTGCAGGTAAGCCTGCAGTTCTGGTTTTCATCTGTAGAGCTGCCCAGTTAGGCAGGATTTAAAAGCAGAAATACTGTCAGGGTGTCCGTGAAGGTACAATGGCTTTGGCTATTTACTGCTTGTCCTGTTGTCCAGCACAGCACTGAGCTCCAGTGCTCAAGAGAGAGGGGCCTCGTCCTGGACATGAGTGTTTACAGCCTGCACGATGAGCGTGGGGCTGGCACTGGGCTGCAAACAGCACCTCGTCTTGCAGGAACCGCGCTGGAGGAACTTGTTTGCAATTGCTTTAAGGAGAAAAAAAAAGAAAAGAAAATGGAAAGTCCTGCTGTAGCAAGTGGAAAATCTGTCACTGGTCTGGGCTTATCCTTCCTGTTTATTCCTGTTCCTTGACTTGGTGTTTCTATTTGAAGAAACAGAAGTATTGAGTGCCTGAGACAAGCATCCATTTATAATATTCTTGCAAAAGAGCTGTACGTATTTCCAACTTTTAAGGACATAGTCCATTAAAAAATCAAGTTAAATAAATATACAAAAGGGAAACAGCGCTGTTCTAGCTGAGGAATAATTTCTCTTGCAAATAGAAGATCATGCAACTGCCAAACTGTTCTAATCAACCAATCTGAAAAATCTGTGAAATTCTTCCTCTTTAATAGCTTGAGAAGAAATCATTTTGTGAGAGTGAGGGAGAGATGAACTGTTAGTAAGCTTTTTGAGAAAGCTGCATTCAGAAACTCATTCTTGGTCTGTCAACCTAATTTAACAGAATTTCATATTCACATATGGATATAAAATATAAATATAGAATCATACAATCATAGAGGGGTCTGGGTTGGAAAGGACCTTAAGATCATCAAGCTCCAACCCCCCTGCCATGGGCAGGGACACCTCCTACTAAACCATGCCACCCAAGGCTCTGTCCAACCTGGCCTTGAGCACTGCCAGGGATGGAACATTCACAGCCTCTCTGGGCAACCCATTCCAGTGCCTCACCACCCTTACAGTAAAGAATTTCTTCCTTATGTCCAGTCTAAACTTCCCCTGTTTAAGTTTGATCCTGTCACCTCATGTCCTATCACTACAATCCCTGATGTGATATGTAATGTAAAAAGGAGGGATGGAACCCAGCTATTAGATAGTTTGGGTTATTGTTTATGTTTGCATTAATTCCCTGATCCTTTATAAAATGTTTATCCTTTCTGCTGCATAGCGTTAATCTGAAGAGAGATTTGCTGTTTGAGGGGAGACAAGAAATGCACACAAAACTTTCCCCAAGTTCAGCGTTCAATGGCCACACATGGAAACACCTTGCCTTCTTTTCATTTCGAAAT